GCTGCCACCCCCCTGGCTGCGTCCCAGGCATGGAGCTGGAGCAGGATCTGCTGAGTGTCGGCGTGTTTGGGATGAAGGCTTCATCCTTGATAAGTGGGACGCCCTCACCCAGGTGCTCGAGCTGCGACTGCAAAGCTCTCCCAGCTGGAAATGCTGATCCTGGGGCTGGGACACGGAGCCTGGGATGAGAAATCCCGGCAAGTTATCCTGCCAAAGCTGCTCTGGGAACACAAAGCCTTTCCTGGAAGGGGGATGAGACGCTCTGGGCTCCTCAGGAGGCGGCGGGGACTCGGCGTGGGGGACGTTAATGCGGCGTGGAAAATCCCGAGGCTCCTGGCAGGGCCATGGGATGTGCAGAGGATTCTGTTTGCATGGAGTTTTTGTCTGGGAATGATCCTTTTGGAGGAGCAGCAAGGAGCCATGTGGGTCTGGGAGTCTTCAGACCCCTCAGCCGGAGCCAAGCCTCGGCTCATCTGGATTTTAGGGATATTTGGGGACCTTCTGCGGGATCGACTGGGGATTGCAAAGGGCAGCGTGGATAGCGCTGCTCCAGAGCACTGCATCCCTGCATCCCTGCATCCCTGCTCCGTGGCTGCAGCCCCAGCCTGGCCAGAGGAACGGGAACCACCCTGCAAATCCCCTCCTGGAGACACGGCCCCAGGAAGTTCTGTGGACCTGGTGGCTCCCAGATGTCCCAGCCGAGCGTGGGATCCAGCGACTCCAGGATTTGCACCCACCCAGGGGCTGTAACACATGTGGGACCAGGACTGCCTCCAAACAGGGGATTTTTTTCCTTCTTTTCCATCACTTTTTCCCTCTGGACACGAGCTGTTTCAAGGAGATGCCTGGTGTGTCTTCCCAAATCCTGGAGAACACACATGGCTGGGCACAAGGGTGGGCACCCTTCCCAGCCCCAGCCTGCCACTCCCAGCCTGTGCCCATCTTCTCTCCACAGCTCTCCTTTCACTCCAACCCACCCACAGAAGGCAAAAACACGGGGATTAAGGGCAGTTCCTTCCTCCCAGGACAATTTTTCCGGTGTGCTGGTTTGGGGTTTGGCCACCCGTGGCACCACCCACCTGGGTTCTGGCGCATCCCACAAGAGCAGCAGTTGGAAAGACCTTCCCCCCATGAGAAGTGATTAAAAATAGATGGGATGGGCACCTTTGCCCTATGTAATTAATCTGCTGGTGTCCTTCAGGCTTTAATAAGCCCCTGGGTCAGCGTGGTGTCCCCTCTGTCCTCCCTCTTCCCTGAAATCAGCCCTCACCTCGGGGCTCTCCTGACACCTCCAGGTTTCCTGTGAGCGGATTCTTTTGCCTCGTTAACCTTCCCAAGCTGCTTCACTTCACGAGAAACACCTTTTTTTTTTTTCCCCTTCTCTTTTCTGTTCTGTTCTGGGCTGTGTTTAATTTTAAGGCCACAAAAATAACCCGGCGACGACGAGCGGAGAGAGCTGCGGGTCAGGGATGGGCACGGAACTGGGATGCCCTTGATCCTCGGGCCCAGAAGTTTCTCTTGATGCTGCTTCAGCAAGGAGAGGAAGAAAAAAAAAGAAGGAGGAGGATGAAGGGAACTGGTCCCTTTTGTCAAACAGGAACAATTCCAGTGAGAGCAAACATCTCCTCAAATCACCCGTGGTTGTTATCTGGGATAATCTCGGCACAGGCGGAAGCTCAGAAGGTCTCTGAAAAAGAGAAGAAACCAGAATTGATTTATTTTCTTATCTTTGATAGAGTAAGTGAAGCTCTGGAGACTCTCCCAGGTCCTGGGGCCTCGGATGACCCCGTGAGATTTAAAGGATTTGGGGAGTGCGGCAGGAAAAGAAGGATCTTCTGCTTCAATTGGGGGGGGGGGGGGTGGGGAGGTGCTTTGGGGGGTGACTTTGGAGGGGCTGGGGACACCAGGGAGGCAAAAGGGAGTTTGGTTCTGGGTTTGGGTTTGCCCAGAGCAGCTGCAGCCACTGTCCCTGGGATGAGAAGGGGCTCGGGGGTGACCAAGAAGCCCCCACA